GAGACTTTGTTTTATTTAATGTTACAGTTGGAAGTAAGTGTTAATGATTACAAGTCTAAACAAAGTCTTTTGAAGCACTTCACAGATGCTTCTGAGTGCACAGAGCTATGGGCATTTAGAACCCTGTGACTTGATCCTTTACACCCCAAGGACAAACACTTGAGACTTGGTAATTCCATTTTAGGAACCATCCACTCCACAGATGACCAGTTTATCTAAACTTTCATTTTTGTGGCTAAACCCAGTCACTTTGGGGAACTGGCTCATATTTTTTATCCCTAGAGTTAACCATGGATTTAAAGGAGGAGACATCTCTACCTCAAAGAGATGATCTGCCACACGGGTTACCGTATAGGGGCAGGAAGGTAGCCTAGTGGGTAAAAGCACTTGCTGAACAATCCTGGTGACTGACTTTGGATCCCAGCACCATTTTGGGGGGGAAAAAAAGAAAAGAAAAAGAAAAAGAAAAACCGGATGTGGTCACTAACATACCTGATTGCTGCGTTTGCTGATGAGCGCCGGGTTCCTCTTGGTGTTCCAATGACTTGAATAGAATCCTTAGTTTGCACTTTATGACATGAAAACCCTCCAGTCCCAGGTGACATTACAAATATGATATCATTCTCCTTCCCACTCACCCCAGAGGGGATATTTCCATCCTCATGTTTTCTTTCTCACACCCTCTCCTTACCCACTCCTTTATGAAGTTATTCCTACTAATCCCTGGAAGTAATTTGCTATAAAGCAGATCTGGCAGGAACTATGTGTTCAGACTCTGCCAGGACAATTTCAAACGCTGACTAAAAGAAGAGCTAATGATCAGCTCACAAACAATTAACCTCTAGAGCAAAGGTGACTGATAAGAAGGGAACCCTTAATTGTTTTCTTGCTGAAACCTAATTATTGGTGAGTTTTGTTGATGTCTAAATAATTAACAATCATAGCTTATTAACCTGTATTTATTTTTACTTTTACTCCCATTCTAATCCATATTTTATAAAGCCAGGGGTTTTGCAGCTGACAGTTGAAAAAGTTTCCTAGTTTCCTGAGTTGTTTTCATATACCCCTTATACAGCAGAGGTCATTTATGAAACAGATAAATCCCTTAAGGAAAAAAAATTGCTCTTTTTCCTGGTTTCCTTTTTATATATATAATTTAATTTAATTTTACATATCAGCCATGGATTCCCCTGTCCTCCCGACTTCTGCCCCCCGACCCCGCCCCGTTTGTTTGTTTTTTTTTAAGACACCGAAGAACTTCAGAGAGATATTCACACTTATCTGATATGTAGATTTATCTCCCCAGTTGCCTCTTTCCCAAGCCTCTCGCCATCTTGGTCTACTCAAAACCCAGGACTGTAGACTTTGTGCCCTCCATTCCCTCACTGATTGCTCACAGCTTAAACTGAGTGTTAGACGGGAGAATTTCTTCTCTTCTAAGCTTTCTTCGTGGATGACTTCTCCCTCACTAGACCCTAGTGAGCTTTCTATACCCACAGTGAAATCCCCTGATGATGTCGTCTTCGGGTTGACTTGCAAAATAGGTGCCTCCAAGAGAGTTCTGTTCTTTGCTCTGTGTCTAGGTATGATATGTGTGGTGTATGTGGCGATGGTATATGGAGGAGCTGAGGAGGCAGGTACTTGGAGATGCGCATTCCATTTAGAAGCTTTCCTGTTTGCTAATAGCATAACTCAGAGGTTGACTAACCGTGAAGGGCTAGACAAGATAGGGTGAGCACATGGGAGTGAAGCAGTCATGTTTCAGTGTGGTCTTCCATCTGTAAATGCAAGTTGAAAATCAAGGGAAAAGGGTTCTGGATGGAATTTCTCCTTCAATGCATCCTTCTCTACCGCTGCCTGGTGAGGGGGGGGGCACCTCCAGCAGTGCAGGGCTCAAAGGGAAATTCATGGAATTGGCCACTGTGACTTTTATCTGAGGGAGTAAGGGGGAAAGACACACACTCGCTTGATTTCTCTCTTTATTTTTTTTCTGTATTCTGATTCTGTATTCTATATTCTCTTTTCTTATCTCTCTCCAGAAATGTCCCTTCTGTCTCTCTTGATGTTTTCCTTCTCCTGCTTTTTATTCTTTCCCTTACAGCTTACATATCCCAACAAAATCTTTCAAGCAATGTAAAAATTACATTGTGGTTACATTCTATTTTTCAAGTGAATGATTACAATGAGTACCAGTAAAAAACAGCAATGTTTTCCACATCTCTTACATGATTAAACATTTTACATATTACAGGTGAAAAACAAGTTGTCCCAAGAACCCACATACATTCATACACAATTAACTTGTTATAGATTAACAGTGTAAGCAAGCAAGGTACTCTTTTCTGGTAGGCTGCATTTTGCAGTTACAAAGAAAGGACCAATCACTTTATTACTTATCTTGAAAGGTAATCTTATCAGGAATCTTAAAGGAATCACAAACCTAAACTTTTATACATGAAAAACAATCAGTCAGCTCTACTTTAAATCTTTAGGGTGCATATCCACTCATCAGGAGTTTTTTATATCAGGAGATTGAGGGCAAAAATGAATACAAGGAATTAATCATCACCTTTGGTTATCAACCAGTCTTAGCAAGGAAAGTATGTCAGCTAATGATAATTGGGCTACTTTGTTCTTGTTCCTTGACCTTAAAGAGCTCCTCACTCAACTATGTGCCTTTCTGAAACTTTAGATTATCTTCTTGGGTTTTCCACCTCAAAGCTATTTATCAAAAACATTGTAGTCTAACTTTAAGTTATTTTTCAAAGCTTTGTTTCAGCTATGATGCACTCCACAACCTGTGAACACATCTCCCAACATTAAGATGAAAAGAATTGCAGTGCTGTGGTGGCGCACACCTTTAATAACAGCACTCGGGAGGCAGAGGCAGGCAGATCTCTGAGTTCAAGGCCAGCCTGGGCTACAGAGTGTGTTCCAGGGAAGGTGCCAAAGCTACACAGAGAACTCCTGGCTTGAAAAACAAAAACAAAAACAAAACAAAACAAAAAATCAAAAGAATTTAAACTACCTGGGCTACTGGGACTCAATTGTTTTTCTTAAGTATTAACATAATCTACAGTCTATATGGCTCCTCCATAGAAACTCATGTGTTCTAGTTGTGTGATACTTACTTGTTTTACTTTTTATCATCAAAACTGTGTTTAAACTAAAATTATTATCAATTAGACAGTACAGCTTAGGAAGAAATCATCTTCATAATAATCCACAGGTAAAAATGCCCAGTAGAGAACACTCCTCCACTGTTGGTGGGAATGTAAACTTGTACAACCACTGTGGAAATCAGTATGGCGGTTTCTCAGAAAATTAGGAATCGAACTACCTCAAGACCCAGCCATCCCACTCTTGGGCATATACCCAAAGAATG